TTGACTGATATCCAAGAATTAATCAGTTAACTACTTAATAATTCCTGAGATTTTCCAGTTGACTTATATAGTTAAATGAAAGCAGTGTTTGTCTTTAGTTGTATTTAATAGATCTGACATGCATTTAAGTGAATATTAATGTAGTTCTATTTAAGTAATTTGAAGATTATATTGTATTTCAGAAGTTATTACTGACCCTCTGCATGAAATTTTTTTGATTAATAAATTAAAATATGTGTCAAGTGCATTTCAAAATAGTTATTCTGTCAGTTTTCTCAATCAAACAGAGAAAATGTTTTCTACAATCATTTGTTGAATATAACGCCCAGATCCATCTTCATCTCCTGCCTCGGTGATCTCCAAAGCTGGTTCCTCAAGCATTTGGTCTTCCTCCAGGTCTAGGAGTGCAAGACTCTCTATTAAAAGCAAAATTATCTTTTACTCCTGTAATTTAAAATAAAACTATTGTGGAAATGTAGCTATGAGTTGAAATTACAACTAAAATCATATTTATTACCTTGCTGTGTAACACAACACATGCACAGATTATGTTGCAAACCCTCTCTGGTTTCATTTTGAGCTCTCCATGCAGACAATGAAATCTTCATTTCAGTACTCCAAAGCACTTTTCAATAACATTCCTTGTTTTGGCATGGGCTGTGTCATACCGAGTTTGAGGTACAGTGACTAGATTCAAGAAGGGCGTGAGAAGCCAGGGTTTTAGTGGATAACCAAAGTCACCCAAAAGCACACCTTGCAATTCTCCTCTCTCAAATGCATCATGAATTTGGGAATTCAGCAAAATTCTTGAGTCATGGGTTGATTCTGGCCAGCGAGCGGCACAGTTGAGCACTATGAGTTTGGCATCACAGATTGCCTGCACATTAATACTGTGGTAGCCTTTCCTATTGACAAATCATGACTCATGGGTTGAAGGTGCTTGCCTTGAATCCTAATGTGTGTTCCATCAATTACATTATTACATTAGGAAATCCAGCAATGTTGAAAAAAGCCATCTTTACCTTATACAAGGTAGAGACATCAGTCAGATACATTGGAAGCCTGCCTGACAGCACACAAGAAACTATGAATGATTCTTGATATTAGACTTGTGTACCCCAACTAAGTCTGCAGCTGCATTTATAAAACATTCTGTGGCAAAGAAGCATAGCGCTAGACATACTTGTAGCAGGGGAGGGATGCATACAATTTCTTGAAGTTTCGGGCCTCAGTTGCTCCTCCAAGTCAAATGCTAATTGTTGAATCATATGTCTTGGAAATCTCAGTTTTTCTAGCAGTTCCTTTTCAGAAAGGACTTCCAGTGGGTTTGAACGGTCTTTGAAAACCGTTTCTCTTCTTATTGCATGTTCATAAAACCAAAGATTAAAATTTGCCATAGCACAAGACAAACAAAAGTCAGGTCACTTTTTTTTTTAATCTAGCACAGCTCACAGTTAGTTTCCATATAGCAACATATAGGAAAAGTTAGCCATGGGGTTATAATCAATCAGTCTTACTTTTTGGTCTTAAATTAGACCAATCTAAGATTTTATGTAACTGGCTTTAAAAGTAAAGGCAGTCTTAAAGAAAAAATTTAGATGACTAACTTGTAAGACTAGTCTAAAACAGTTTTATGCAACCGGCCCCAGTGTTGCCCCAGGAATGAAAAAATGAACTTCTTTAAACTTGACAGAAAAAGCAAGATGACTCAAGCTGTCACTTTTATGCTTATGTAATGCTGTGTGAATATACTGTCATAAGTATGTTGCATTAGACATACATTCAAAGCTATAGGTTTTAGAATAACACCAATAATAGCTTATATATTGTATAAACAGCCCTGCAATAAGGATAGTCACAAATGTGTTAAATGTGCTTTTTTTTCTAATTTCATGTGTTATGTAATTTAAAAGTCTCGTCTAGATTGTAAAGTAGGGCTTTGGTAATTGAAACATAAACTTGTCATGATATTTGACTTTCTCTGTAAAGATTTATTTACATTTTTTTTTAATTATTATTTTACAGTGTTGTTTTAACATGTTTCTGTATTTTTCATGTTTATGATATTCTGGAATGACTGAAGATCACCACAGAATTCACTGATCTAGTGAATGGAAATGATTTTCATTTTTGCTTTGTGTTTTAATGTTTTCATTCAAGCTGTTACTTTCACATTAATTTACACATATACTTTTCAGACAGTGACGTGTTAATGGGAATGTTTTAATAAACATGAATGTTTAAATTATGGTTTATTTGTGCACTCTGTTATGTCAGGATAAATAGTTAACAAAAAGCTTTTGTCATGTTAACTTGTGTTGAAGTTTTAAAACTCAAAATTTTAAGGCAACCACGTAAAATTTTAGGTAATTGAAACTATATGTATAGTTGAGTGAACTTAAATTTTAAAGTTGACTTCATCCTCTTGATAAACTTGAATAAGCTGATACAATATTTAATCCAAAGTTATGACAACAACAAAAAATATATTAAGTTAAAAAAAATTAATAAAATTGATATACAACAAAATCACTATTTTTGTAATAACTGAAATTCTTAGTTTCAATTCACTCAAAATTAAGGCAACCAGGTTACTTTTTTAAATAATTTTTTATAGTATAGGTACTTTTTTTTCCTGCAGTGTACTGTAAAAAAGTACTTCCAAAAAGTGCTGTAACTCAACAAATATAACAGGAAGTGTGGATGAACTGAGTTTAGCTGGCTTTTGATATGATATTCAAAATAAAAAATGTTGGACTCACAAAAAGCATGAACCCCTGTGTTATCCTCTCCTAAAATTGACACCCCATGCACCCACCAAGGTCATTCACTCACAAGGCCGGCTGTGGAAATAGAAAGCAGCAGTAGAGCTTACGGAGACTAAAAGCAGGGCAGTACAAATGCCAGTTCAAAAGACTAACAAACAAGATGAGTTATGTGTACATGAGGGAGGTATAGCTACATAAAAGAAGCAGATATCCACCAATGAAAAGCATAAATAGAAAAAGGGCTGAATATATCGTTTTGATCTGTTACATAAAGCGATCTGTGATGATGTCCTAATTCTGGCAGAGAAGAAATCAGTGAATGTAAAAATATAGACGATCACAGTATTCACCAACCTCCAGTATCCACTGTTCTGAATCAACCCCTTTGGCTAAACCCGAACCTATTCAACACCGGGCTGGAGGCCGGCAGCATGATGGCTGGCGGCCAAAAGTGCTAACCGTGCAGCAAGAGATTGCAGTCTCCACTGTGCCAAACTGTGTTGAAATTAACCCAGTAATCAGAAACATTATGTTCTTATGGGGAGAGCCCAGGCGACTGGCAGATGGCTAAGAGCATTAGAGAGATACCTGCCAAACGTTAGCCTGCTCTCTCCTCCTGGTGGGAAAGCCATTGTGACCAGGAGAGAGGGGCACCCCTGTGTGTCTGCAGCATATGGTGGGGTAAATATTGATATTATAATTATGAACAGCATAATCTAATAATTAATCATGCACATGCTCACATATTCAATACTCAAGCAGACACATACTGGAGGAGAGCCATTTGAACATTATGCTGGCAGAGAGAATATGACAGATGCCACAAGACCTGTAGCTGTTCTATTGTGCATATTGTGCTTTGATATTGCAATGCAAACCATGATAAGTGAAGAATCACTTAGGCTCCTGTTTCTCTCTCTACCTCTGTTTTTTTTTTCTTTTTTCCTTTCTTTCTGTTCTGTGTAGAAGAATATTGCAGTATGAACATAAACAGCTTGTGAACACAGAGAAACATTTGCATAAGTCAAGTGAGATGAGCTTCAGGTTCCCTCAGTTTCTCAGAGAGAGAATGAGAGAGAGCCTCAAGCCCTCTGATTAGTGTTATGCAGTCTAATGTAGACTAATGCAGCTGAGTGAACTGGACCTCAATGTAACTACACAACTGCCTGTGTTCAATCATTTAAGACACACATTCCTTTGTGGCTTCAGTGGTAATTATAAAATAACAACATAACTGCATTTGGAACATAGTATGCACACTGTGGATAATGAAATAAAACGACACAACTTTTTAAATCTTGTTTTCCTTTTTGAAGCCCCCCTCGCTCTTTCTGGGTTGCATCAAAACTACGAGAGAAGTTAGAAAATTATGATCAATTGTACTATATCTCCCCCTGCTGGTGACACAGGTTAAACACATGTAAATGCATGTAACTCATTCCGCTGAAACCAGCAGGTGAAATAAACTCAATTTGAATTTGAATTTTGAAATCATTATCTTTTCTCATTTTTCATTCTTACTTATCAGATAATACTTATGGACGCTTTTTACGAGTGTAGACTTTTTACTCATTTCAAACACACGAAAACATAATGTATCCGAAGAAAATAAAAAAACACAAGGCTAATACAAAGGTTTGGGGATAAATTCCTTTTAAACATGTGTTTTTGCAATAAACACCATTTCAAAATAAGTGGGTAATTGTTTCTTCAAAGTGATGACAAAGGGGGTTGAAATACTGTCAGCAGAATAAAGAGAAAAAGAGTTTTCGATAATTTGCTAAAGACTGAAAAATATATTTAAAAAAAAAAAGTAGAAGACAGAAAAAGCATACATCAATTTGAGTATACAAATTAAAAGTCATTGCAAATGGACGTCGTTCTGCTTGCTTTTTTATTTAACTGAAGATGAAATTATGTTGAGATACGTTTTAAATTCTTTCAAAAAGATCGAGAAACAATCGGTTAATTGTTATTAGTCAACTTACATTTGTGAATATACAATTTGTAAAGATACTTTTATAACAAAGCAAGCATTGTTTTAGTAAAATAAGAATCATACAGTGTCATTAAATAATGTCTTTAAAATTATGGATCCGGGTGATAATAATAATAAATAAATAAATAATAATAATAATAAACCGAACGGAGTGCAAAACTTCAGAGGAAATGACGCAGGGAAGGTCCTTTCCTCAAGCGTGCACAGCAAATCCATATTTTTTCTCAGACGGGCAACTAGCGTTCCCATACCAGAACTATCCTGACCAGTTTACCTATGTTAAATTAACTGTACTCAGTTTTAGTGCATAGAAAATTTTATACGGACACTGCCTTTTAATATCGCTGGAAAGACCCATCATTCTGAATGTAAACACGTCCTGACATGGCGCATGCGCACTGCGTCAAACGTACTCGTATGTTGGGACATTGTGCAGTTTCAAGCCTGAAAATGGGGGACAAACAGCAATAAAAGTAAAGTAGAAGGCTTATTTAACACGCGTTTCTTCGGATCATTAGGATTTTACCGTGGGCGAACCAGCAACTACGTAAGAAATGCGGCATGGATTCAAACTCGTAGTGCAGCGAAAACGACTTAATATTTTATTACCTCTTTGCTAACAGCGGCTAGCTAGCAATGAGGATCAAAATGGAGGCGGGCTATTTATTATTAGTTCAAGTTAAAATGGTTCATACTTCTTGAAAGATATGCATCATAGCGTTTAATAAGCAGATTCACATGTGGCTTTAGTATTACTGTAATAGATGTGTGCATGTCTTGACCCAAGTCCAGCCGGCAGTGATCTGTTGTTTATGACCAAACATCTGATTTCTAGCCTGTAGACAACTTAATATCGTAAAAGATATTATGTGAATGGTTTTGGTGTTTTATTTAGTCTATGCTTACCCAGTAGATTTATTTCAACTTTATACAGAAAGTTAGGTTGCATATATAGACTGGAAGGATATACTTGCAGTCTACAAATTTTCCCAGAATTCAAGGAGATCCTCAAAACAGTGATTTGGAATTTACATATCCGTCCCTTTGTTATTATATTGATTCTAATTGATTTTTTTTTTCTTGTACATGTCTGCAGACACACCATTGTTGATATCAACTCTATAGGAGCCATGGTTCATAGGGTAGAGGCTTTTGTTCGCCATGAATATGTGACCCAAATGCTTTTCTAAAGTGGGATTGTACTCAAACAACTGTGACTTAAGCCCATCTCAAACAAGACACCCAGTTAGTGTCCGAAGAGAGATTGGAGATCCTTTTGGTGACTCTCCTGACAGGACCAGACAACATCCGATCTTGGACAAGACTGGGTGGGAAAGCTGAACGGACTTCATTGCCTTTAAAGCTTGGCAGAGTGTTGGCTGTCGCTTCAGAGGCTGGCTCTGTGGGCACAGAAACACTGTCATCTCAAGCTAAACAAATGGGGGGTGAAGGCACCCCTGTAAAAAGTAAAACTCCTCTTGGACAGACCAACACCATTGATAACAAGCCAGAGTTTGTATCCATGAATTCACATAGTAATTCTAGAGACCCTGTGGGTGAGAAAAGTGCCAAAGGGTTAGAGACTATGGGGGTGTCTAATGAACACTCAGAGGGCAAAAGGACGAATATGAGGAAAATCACCAGTCATCCTCACGCACAAGCCACTTGCCTGAAACAACTGCTTCTGCTTCAGCTGGACTTGATAGAGCAACAACAGCAACAGCTGCAGTCTAAGGACAAGGAAATAGATGAACTCAAATCAGACAGAGACACGGTATGTATGCAAGCATTGGGGTCAGTAAGATTTTTTTTTTTATTCAGCATGGATGCATTAAAATGATCACATATGAAATGCTGTTCTTTTGAACTTTCCATTCATCAAAAAATATTAAGCAGCACAATTGTTTTCGAAATTGATAATAAATAAGAAATTAGTTTCTTGAGTACCAAATCAGCATATTAGAATGATTTCTAAAGGATTATGTGACACTAAAGACTGGCGAAAATTCAGGTTTTTTCAACACAAGAATAAATTACATTTGATAATATGTTAAAATAGAAACTATAGATATTTTAAATTGTAATAATATTTCACAATATTACTCTATTTACTGTATTTTTTTATAAATGCAGCCTTGGTGAGCATAAGACCCTTCTTTCATTTTAAAAAACATTTTAAAATCTTGCCAACCCCAAACTTTTGAATGATAGTTTACAGTTCATGGTTTGTGGGATATTGACTCTTGACATTGTTTTTTTTTTTCCTGATTTAGCAGCATAAAATTGGTTTATGGTTTATACTTGCAACCATTTTCTCCTTCGGAAGACTTATGATTTTTTTCTAATGTATTTGTCCTGCCTTGAAACAGTTGCTTGCCCGTATTGAGCGGATGGAGCGCCGTTTGCAGTTGTTAAGTAAGGAACCACGTGACAAGAGGCTCTTCCAGCCACTAGAAAGATGGGTTCCTGAAACAGATGACTTTTGGGAATCACATTTGGGTGACAGCTCTCAAACTCAGGCATCTAAGTCAAGTGGCAAAGTGCAAAAGAGGTAAGACTGGGAAATACTCCTGTTAGTCACTCTTTCCTGTTATTTTTCTCTTCTGTCTTCTTGTGGCTTCTGCTTGACTGTTGTGACCTGTAAATACTCTGCCTAGGAAGTTCAACTTGTTAGATGCAAAGAATCAGAGGTCAAGGGGTAAGACCTCAAAAATGATCCCCCAAAAATTAGAGACAGGAGGGACATCACCATGTCAGCGTGACCTACGAAACAAGGAGACCCCAGAGAAGACAAATGTTGTGAAGTCATCTGGGCAAATGGACCCGCAGCAGGAGGGAGAAGACAGCAAAGAAACGGAAGATCTTCCGTTCATGACAACAACTGAGATGTACCTATGCTGCTGGCAGCAACCTCCAGCCTCTCCATTACGGGAAGAGTCTCCAAAGAAGGAAGAGGATGTTGCAAGTATGTGCTTGGCTCAAATGCAAAATGGCAGTTGTAAACATTGATTTACAAATTGTAATACAAAAACTATTTCCTCAGTCCCATCATGGAGGGAAAACACCATGGAACCCCTTCAGGAGGAAGATGCTGTTGACATCCCTGAAGTAAGAGTCATCATTTGCATCATATATGCATTATACATAAATCCAAAATTAAAATTTTGTCATCATTTACTCACTTCACTCATGTTGTTCCAAACCTGTATAAATTTCTTTTTTTCTGTTGAACACAGAAACAGATATTTTGAAGAATGTTGGTAACCAAACAATTGATGGTAGCTATTGACGTCCATGGTATTTTTTTCAATGGTTACCAGCAACTGTTTGGTTACCAACATTCTTCAAAATATATTTTGTGTTCAAAAGAAAAAATAAACAACTTGAGAGTGAGTAAATGATGACAAAATGTTCATTTTTGGGTGAACTATTCATTTAATTATGAGGCCAATTGTCATTTGTCCATCTTTTTTTTTTCTTTAGAGTCTTGATGACAGTGTTTTTCTGAAGCGCCACGCAAAGTTAGAACTGGATGAGAAGAGACGAAAAAGGTGAGATTTATTTTTAAAGGATTGTTTTCCTGATCTGTGTTTGTGGCATCAACCCATGTTTAACCCTTTTGTTTTAGTTTTTTCATGCACATGAGAACCATTCAAATGTTGAAGGTTTTGAAATCTCTTGTGCTTACCAAGACTACAGTAAAAACATTAATATTGTGAAATATTATTACAATTTAAAATAAACTGTTGTCTGTTTTAACAAAGTTTGAAATGTAATTCAAAAGATCCAAATTTCTGTGATGGCAAAGCTGAGTTTTCAGCAGCCGTTACTCTAGCGTTCAGTGTCACATGATCCTTGCATGACGTGAATTATGAGTTATATTGTGATATTTACTTGAGACTAAAATTAATTGATATTCGGCTTACTTAATACCTACTTAAATATATGCATATATAATAATAAAGATATCAGTTCCAGCTTGCGGTTAAATGAGTTCCCTTAACCGATTCAAATTTTATGGCAAGGTTTCTTCACAACAAATATAGTAATATACTTCAAATGAATAACTGTCATTAAAATTTCACTGTTTATGTACAGTTATTAACTGCCTGAAACAACACTTGCTTTTAATTTTCTTGCTTTCTTTCTTCTGTTAGATGGGACATTCAGAGAATACGTGAACAGCGTATGCTTCAAAGACTGCAGCAGCGCATGGAGAAGAAAAAGACAAATGTTCAGGAGAGCGAGCCAGAATTGTCCTCGTTTTATCCTGATGTGGACAATGGTATGTCTCCTAGATTCATTTCATAAAGTATTATTTTTGTATTGTATTTATGAACAAAAAGCTGTTATCATATTATATACCATCATTTCTCAGATGTTCTTTTTTTCTCCTTTCTTTCCTCTTGTACAGTGGAGGCCATCATGGTAACACCCTTTCTGCCAGTAGTGGCATTTGGTCGGCCTTTGCCCAGTTTGCCTCAACAGTAAGGGCATTCTTTTCATTTTGAAATATCTCCCGATTAACAGATAAGTGCTTTTAAATACTGTTGTAAGTGTCATATAACAATCATTTGCTGTCTGCCAGAAACTTTGAGCTGCCCTGGCTTGACGAAAGAAGTCGATGTCGCATTGAAAACCAGAAGAAACAAACTCCCCACAGGACCTGTCGGAAATGAGTTGCACATATTCTTGCTATGTGTCCGAGTTGAGCACCACACAAAGGAATACTACTTCATGTCCTGTGCCAGAACATGGGGTTGAAGGAAGCAAAGCAGGGTTTGTTCAGTCAGGTGACAGAATATTATCTCATCATAACAGTTTTGTGTCCACCTGCCTTCTGCTCGCACAGAGACTGTTTAGGCGAGAAAGAAATGGCAGCATTGCAGCTGTGTATTCATTTTATTGTGCCCTGATAATAAAGCACTAACTGCCCGGCTAACTGCTACTTTAGTTCCCTCACAGTCAGTGTGTGGCCTTGATTAAATCCTTTTCTTGTAGTCCTGTTCTGTGTACTTTTACTGAGGCTAAGTGATATTGATTATTGCAGGCTCCACTGCAAATACTGTTTTAATGTGCACTAAACTGTGGTTATGGAGTACTGCTGCACATTTGCATGTAATGCCTCAATATTTGTGTTGAGAATGACTTTAAAGAGCTTGTTTTGTTTTTGCAAATGTAATTGTGCATGAATGTCTTGCTAAATCTTATGCCTAAAAATGTACATATTTTTGTAAGCATAGTGTAGTTGTTTAGAGGGAAAGAAATTGTCAGGATTAGAGTAAGGATGCTAAAATGTGTAGATGAATGCCCCGATGTAAAAGAGTAAGTATGGATTGTGTGTATGGCCATTCTAGTGTCTCTGAAAATGTTCAGCATCCCATGCAGGTTTAAAGACAATGCCCTTAACGTTATTTTTGGATCAGTTAGTTGGTCTGTTGATGTTGTTTTTGTTGTACCTCAACTTTCTTATTGAAAATCCATTTATTTTACACCTCCATTTTCTTAACCTTATCCATGTCCAGAAGTGTTGCTAGTCATTATTCATTTTGCATAAATTCTGTGTCTCATGGGATTTATTTCTGGGCATTTCCTAAAGATATTCTTGTTCTTGTTAAAAGCGATAACCTGATTTTGTGTGTAAATGTGTTGATTTTGTGAGCACCACACACAAGGTTTTGATTTCTGATTTTTTTTCCCCCAAATGTCTACAACTGGACCTTTGTAAATATCTCTACTGAGACACATTGGCTGTAAATAAGGAAAACATTGATGTTATTTTTTTATTTAATGTTAGAAAAGTGTTGTTTGTTCAGCATAGATATTATATTGATAGCATTATTTACAAAATAAGAATTTTTGTTTTTAAAAAAAAATAAAAACTCACTTTGTGATTTCCTAATTGACACTCAGTTTTTAATGTCTTATGTGTCCATATTTGTTCTTACTGTAGTATTTATTTTATTTTTTCTTTCAAATCCCTTGATTCGGCAGCTTAGCATTACAAAGATGTGATTTGGTCAAGATTGTGAAAACAGATTACATTTATTGCAAGACTAAAGATTTAACTATTTTGTGTTTTTCAAATATTATATAAATAATACAGTTTAATCTTGTGTTTTTGTCAATTTTTCAAGTCAATTTGGGGGTAAATTAATTGTAATATTTTTTTTCTTAATTTGGTGAAATGCACAAACTACTTTGTGAGAATTACCCATGCGTGCAACAGTATATGTGACAGCCACCGTAAAACAAGTGTAACACCATATATCACAGAACACACTCTCTCACTTCATAGTGTGAAAAATGTTTATTGAACCACAAAAAAAAAATTTCAAAATATACCACCTCTTGATTCACCATGAGATAAATACACTAATATTTCATTTTTAAATTTCAATAAGTCTTTAGATTATTTTCTGACAAAACGAGCTTTGGAAAACTGCCTCCAATATTTTTTGTTTTAATTAAATCACCAAAGTTATTGTGAGATGTTGCCTTGCACAAACTTTAGAGTTTATGAAAGTTTATAGTTTACTGAACAGGCCTTGATAAATAGAGATTCAATCACTTTGAGAAAAAAAAACGACATAAACCACCACATTTGTTATATGTAGGTATTTACTACTAAAAGATCAAGATGAATATATTATTAGAAGATCATGATAGTATAATAGCACAGGTATTTTAAAGGTAATTCTCTGATGTACCCTTGTATGAACAGATTGAAAACTGGAGTGACTCCATTTTGCACTATTTATATAAAAGATTAGTATCAGAATCTGTTTGTTATAATTAAAAGATGATGTGTGATAAACCAGTTTTTATAATAATTAAATATTTAGTGTTAAGGTTTCCTCAAAAGATCAAGTTGGAATCTCGGGGTAACAGATTCTTTTGTTGATTTTATCTCCTTTAAAAAGGATTTGTCTAAACAGAAGGCTTGAGATCAGTCTGATGCATTGCATCTTCATTTGGGTTACGTGTTTGGTAACATTTCTACAGCACATCATAAACGGAGACAGAAAAACAAAAAGGACGCATTAAAGCGTCTAATGTCAAGAAAAAAAAAAACAGCATTCACATCCTCCCTCTTTTCTTTGAATCAGTCTACATTTTAGTGAAGCAATCTTTGCGCAAACAGTTCCAAATCAAAACCTTTACTTGAAGTCCTTTCATTCTCAGTCTCTCCTGAGGTTGTTCAGCCTCTCCTCCAAGTCAGCATCAGCATCTGCCAGCGTAGCCTGTGGTTCAGCCTTCTTCCCAGTCGCAACCGAGAGATTTCCTCCAGTAGAAGGCAGGTCTGTTTGAATTAAATAACGGGTAATATAAGAACGGCATAGGGTGTCAGTTTATGGCATGGTAACGGTGGTGTCTTTTTTGCTTACTTGAAAGTTCGTCAGAAAGATTCAAACCCAGCTCATCCAGAACTTGAGAAACCACAGCATCACTACATTCAAAGCAAAAGGAGTGCATGTCAGCTTATAAATTATTATTATTATCAATGTTGAAAACAGTTGTTATGCTTTATATTTCTGTGGAAACCATGATTTTTTTTTTTTTTTTCAGAATTCTTTGATAAACAGAAAGTTCAAAAGAACAGCGTGTAAATTAAACAGAAATCTAAAATTATAATTATAAATGTCTTTACTGTCACTTTTGATCAATGCATTCTTGCTGAATAAAAGTGGAATAAATTGATAAATAAATGCATAAATACACACACACACATTTTTTTTTTCTCACCTCTCCTCTTCATCATCTTCATCCCCCATTGCATCATCAATTGCATCATTCATCATCTCCTCCTTCATGTCCATGATTTCACTTTGGCGCTCAAACTCCATCATGATCTTCTGAATCTGTGGCAACTTCAACTGCATTGAGAGGAAAAGCAATTCACATCAACAAATGCATATCAACAAGCTACCAGTCGGCAAGAGAAACAGAAATTGAAAATGCTATAGCACATATACCTGTCTGTTCATGGTGGCCATAGCTTTGGTGACTCCTTTCATGGCCTGCGCCATGCTGTTGTTTGATTTGAGGGTTTGGATTTTAAGGCTGACAGCTTGAATATTGGCTCTCATCATGATGAATTTCTTGACGTATCGTCTTGTGCGCACCAAGTCCTTGGCCATGATCTTCACAGCATCCTGTCGGACAAAGAACATTACTTGCACTCAAGTGAGACTTCACAGACCTGGTAGTGACATTAAAGACCTGAATGTCAAATTAAAACTCTCCTCACCATCTGTCCTTGTTTGGCCATTTTCTTAATGTCAGCAATTATTTTCTTTTCCTGTTGTTCCAGTCTCTGGCGTTCTCTGTCTAGATCTCTCATTGCTCTATTTAGTGCTCTCTGATTCTGTCTGAGCATCTCCTCCGGAGTCTTTCTTTTTCCAAACAGGAACTCCATCTGACATGAACAAATACAAAAAAAAAAAGAGAGAAAAGAGAAAAAAATACCAGACTGTGAGAAGTTTGAAGGAAAATTTGAAGGGTTTCCATAATCTGCTAAAAGTCCAAATGGGACTACAGAAAGGCATTCAGATGTCCACATGCGATTTGATGACAGTGACTCTCAGTCACGTGATGCCATGACATCACTGTTTGCAGGTATGTCATATGGGACTGTGAACAAGTGGTTTCTACAGCTACTGGCAAATTGAAATATTTTACACGCTATGAATCAAGTGACATCACCCCTGCTCTAATAGCTGTCATATAGTTCTCTTCCTTCTCATACTGAGCACACCCTAATACTGAGCTTATATATGTGTTATATGTAGGGGTGTGCGATAATATCGTAATTGTTGTTTTAACGATGTGCGATTTGACATTATCGAGTATTTTGCAAAAACCATTCAAAACATCCCTACAGAACGCACGCATACATTACGTGAAGTCTAGACTAGTGCGTGTGCGCATTTAGTGTGTTTTCTTTCACTGCATGATTCAGTCTATTAAAATGCATTTAGAATGATCACAAATTCAAGACACGATGGCAGAAAATTTATATATTTATACCACTTCATAAAGTTATTCAATTTCACACGAAGAGTGCCGTTTTTCTCCAAAAATTACCATGATTACAAATGTGACATTGAATTCAATAAACAATAAGTTAATTAAGAGACTTACGTTTTAGACACCATATTGCTTGTTTTTGCTCTATTTCGCCAACAAAAATCATCCCGAATACAGCCACAGCGCTGTTTTGTGTCTCTGAGCAACATGACGGTGTTTCGTTCTTGAATGAATCAACCGTTTAAATGATTCGGTTCAAACGCAATGACTCACTTATTAACAGTGATTTGCTGCCACCTGCTGGCGGTTTTAATTTCACATTTCGGTCAAATTAATTAATTTCACAATTGCTCTGATTGAGTTGGGCAGGTCATTCCACCAGGAGGGAACAGTTAATGAAAAAGTCAGTGAAAGTGATTTTGTGCCTCTTTGAGATGGCACAATAATACGTCATTCACTTGCAGAACGCAAGCTTCTAGAGCAGGGCTGTCCAAACTCAGTCTTGGAGGGCCAGTGTCCTGCAGAGGGCCAGTGTCCCTACACACCTGACTGGAAGTTTCTATGCCTCGTAAGAGTTTGATTAGCTGGTTCAGGTGTGTTTAATTAGGGTTGGAGCTAAACTCTGCAGGACACCGGC